TCATTTTTTCATTCCTAAAATTTGTACTGGACTTTTACCTTTTCTTATCCCGTTTCGTTATTCCTTATTTTTTTACATTTCTCTAAGATTTTATTTATTTATAATATATAAGAGATATATAAAAGAGAGAGATGGACCATGAGTACAAGCAGGGGGAGTGGCAGAGGGAGAAGCAGGCTCCCCGCTGAGCAGAGAGCCTGACGCGGGCTTTGATCGCAGGACCCCGGGATCATGACCCGAGCTGGAGGCAGACACTTACTGACGGAGTCACCCAGACATCCCTAAACATCCCATTTCTATTGGTGTCTCCATTTTAAAATGGGTGCTTTATTACCAACCTCTTTCAAAATTCCTGATTTAAAAAAAATTTAGCTAGGTTAGAAAAGTCAAACTTTTTAAATCGCTTTGGCCACAAACTAAGTGGTTCATAGACGTTTGCCAGCTCGGTTCTGTAGGTGAGGTGCCCGGCCGACTCAGCCGGTTCCCCTGCGCTGGGTCGCCAAGCCAGAATCAAGAGCCTGAGCGCCTCTCTGGGGGCCTTGGGGAGAAGGTGCTTCCAGGCTCATTGATGTCGTTGGCAGAATTCAGTTCCATGCAGTCGTAGAACTGAAACCTTCACTTCTTTGCTGGCTCTGAGAGTTGTTCCTGCCTTCCAGAGGCTGCCTGCGTTCCTTGGCTTCTGGCCCCGTCCGTCTCTGGGCCAGCAACGGCGGGTTGAGTGCCCTTCATGCTCTGAATCTCTCTTGCTCCTTACCCGCATATCTCCGACTCCAGCCGGAGTGGCTGCTCTGTTTTTAAGGACTCGCGTGATCAGGTTACAGTGCTAGGACAGTCTCCTTATCTTGAGGTCCATAACCTTAACCCCATCAGCAGAATTCCTTTTGCCATAGACTTCAGCATATTCATAAATTCTAGGGACTAGGGTGTGAGCATCTTTGGGGCGGCCATTATTCTGCGTCAAACTCTAGGTTTTTATGTTCATCACTTTTTATCACTTTTTTCCTGGAAGACAGTGTGCCTTTCTGAGCTGTGGTTTAGACACTTTTGAATTTCTTTTTAATGTATTTTATTTCTGAATACTTTTTCTGTTTGTCATGGGTCAGAACCTCTACCTACAGAATCCAGCTATCTTCAATATCGGATTACTTAGGTTCTCTCTCACTTTGTCTCTAAAAACTGCCATTTTAAAAAGTCTGTTTTGGGGGTGTCTGGGTGGCTCAGTCAGTTAAGTGTCTGACTCGTGATTTTGGCTCAGGTCATGATCTCAGGGTCGTGGGATCGAGTCCCACATCGGGCTCCCTGCTCAGCGGGGAGCTTGCTTCCTCCTCTCTCTCTGCCTGTTGCTTCCTCTACTTGTGCTCGCCCTCTTTCTGTCAAATAAATAAATAAGTAAGTAAAATCTTAAAAAAGAAGAAAAAGATGACCATGATAAACTTGGTCAGCTCTCCCTGCTCATGCTCTCTCTCTGTGCCAAATAAATAAATCAAATCTTTAAGAAAATAAACAAAAATAATAAATGAAAAATATTTAAAAATCCACAGAAGAAAATCATGCTAGTTTATGCATAAAGGTTGAGTTGCCATAGTTGGTTTTTTGTTTTGTTTTGTTTTGTTTTTTGTCCTCTGAAATCGCTCCTGGCTAATCTGGGTAGCTCTAGCATCTGGTGTTTAAGAGGACCCTTAAAAGGACCTCTGAAAACCAACTTGAAACATCCCGGGTGCCTTAGGAAAGCACCAGAGACAGCCTTCATTTGCCCTGTTGGGAAAGGGGGTGTGAGCCCTCTCGCCTGCCCCATATTCCGTGAGGGTTCTGGATCACAGGAGACCCAGGAGTTCAGCCTGAATGAAAAACATCTGCTTCCCATTAAAGTAAAATCCCCAATTTTAAGTTTTTATTACTAAGGAGAGAGGAGGGCAAAAAATAGTGGCTGTAAATGTACAGTATGCACACGATGAGAAAATCCAAAACTTTTCAAGCTACAGACAAGAAGGGGAAGCCCCCTCTTTACACTCCAGACCCTGACATATGCAATCGCTTCCAGAAAAGAGAGATGATTCAGGAATCAGCTTTGGTAGACAAATGTGCCATGAATACAGAATTACAGAGTGCATGCACATGTGTATGTATACCTTTCTGTGTGTATTTAGACAAAAGATCATAGCATATGAACTACCCCATACTTACTTCATTTAACTAAGAGGAGGCCAGTCCTGCTCAATTAATACAGACCCACACCCTTAAAACAAAAAGACTTTATTTGAGAGAGGGAGAGAGAGAAAGAGCGCGCACACATGAGCAGGGGTAGGGGAAGAGGGAGGATCTCAAGCAGACTCCCTGTTGACTGTGGAGCCCGACTTGGGGCTCGATCTCACACCCTGAGATCATGGCCTGAGCTGAGACCAAGAGTTGGACGCTCAACCGACTAAGCCATCCAGTCGCTCCATACCTGCCTCCTTCTTTTAATTGATCTCATATCATCACATTGTGTGGATTTCTTATCTTAAATTTTAAAAAAAGAATTGTTTATTTTATAGGAAGTGGGGGGAGGCAGAGGGAGAGGGAGAATCTTAAGAGAATCTTAATCTGTACCCAGCACAGAGCCCGACCTGGGGCTCGATCCCACATCCCTGAGATAGTGACCTGAGCGGAAATCAAGAGTTGGATGCTTATGGGCACCTGGGTGGCTCAGTGGGTTAAGCCTCTGCTTTCAGCTCAGGTCATGATCCCAGGGTCCTGGGATCGAGCCCCGCATCAGGCTCTCTGCTCAGCAGGGAGCCTGCCTCCCCTCTCTCTCTGCCTGCCTCTCTGCCTGCTTGTGATCTCTGTCACATAAATTAAAAAAAAAAAAAAAAAGGAGCTGGATGCTTAACTGCCTGAGCCACCCAGGCGCCCCTTCCTCATCTTAAATTTAGTCAGGCTTTTCCTTTCCAGTTCTATGGGGGAAACCAAGGAAAGAAAAGAGCATTGTGCAAATATTCTAGAACGCCTCCAACCCGGGAAGTCGGGGGAGCTCTCTCCTGGCCTGGAAGGGTTAGGGCAGGAATTCTCCACTAACGGTTTTCAACACAATAAACGGAATTTGGAGAGCTTACAGGTAGCTCTTTCCTGGTCTCACACGTAGTACTGGGATTTCATTCTGCTGATTGGACTATGTCGTTGTGGACAACTGTGATGATGTCTTGTCTGGCGAGACACAGTTGGGGACTCGGAGAGACCCTTATTACCCTATCTTTCTGAGATTTCGAACATTAAGCCTTGAAACTACATCTTCATCATTTTCTGAGGTGACTTTGTACATTATCCTGTGTGTAGAGTTGTGAATTCTCGTAAACGTAGGAAACAATGCATACCACACTCCCCTCATAGCGTTTATGGTGTGTGTTCATACAACATAGTCTTCGGGAGAGCTTTGCAGTAAATGCACCCATTTAACAGGACTGCACCCACAGTTCCCCGACGTGATCTATACTGAGCTCTTCCTTGTCTAGCACGGAGGAGTGTCTCGTGAAGTAAGAGTTGCTTCAGGATATCTTACATACCAGTATCCCTCCTGAATCTATGCTTTTAAATTCAGTGCAGGAATCAGCAAACATCTTCTGCAAAGGCCCGGACAGTAAATATTTTAGGCTTTCTTGGCCAAAGAGTGTCTGTTGCAGATTCCCAGCTCAGCCATGTAGCACAAAAGTCAGCAGAATTTATGCCGTTTACAAAATGTTTTTTTTCTTTCCCACCCCGCCCCATCCAGTTAAAACCATCAAAATCATTCTTAGCTAGTAGGTTCTAGAGAAACAGGAGAGCTGGAATTGACCTGTAGCCATAGGTGGACAACCTCAGGTTCAGTGGATAATAATTCAGGGTCAGAAATAAATGCTTTATTCACCTAGATGGTGGAATACCTAAGATATTTTCAGGAAGATTAAGTTCCATGCATTTATGCAAACAGAAGAGGATATGAAAGTGTCATCTGCTCTGCCGAAAACATTTGTTGTCTTGTAGCTTAGCTCCTAAATATTGAGGGTTTAATAAAAACCCTGCCAGTTAAAGGATAAGCTTGATAACGTTTAGATGAATAAATATTGATGAAAAGTCTCCATATTATAAAAGAAATCAGGTTAGAAATGATCACTGTGGAATGGCTTCTGTATTACCAAATTTTTAAAAAACTAATGATACATATTTTTACTTTATCTATTTATTCATTTGTTTATTTTTACTGTTATGTTAGTCACCATACAGTACATCATTAGTTTTTGATGTAGAGTTCCATGATTTGTTGTTTGTGTCTAAAACCCAGGGTTCCATGCAATTTTAAAGATTTATTTATTTATTTATTTGAGAGAGAGACAGAGAGAGAGAGAAAGAGAGACAGTGCGTGGGGAAGGGCAGAAGGAGAGTGAGAGAGAGAGAAGCAGACTAAGCTAAGTGTGGAGCCAGACGCAGGACTCGATCTCACAACCCAGGATTATGACCTGAGATGAAATCAGGAGTCAGACGCCTAACCAACTGAGCCACCCAAGCACCCCCTAATTTTCAGGATATTATGCAAAGGTCACAGCACAGAACTTGAGTTATAAAAGGGATGAGAACATGCAGTGTATCTCTAGGGATAATTCTCTTTTTAATAAGATTCAAGGGGCACCTAAGTGGCTCAATCAGTTAGGTGTTTGCCTTCAGCTCAGGTCATGATCTCAGGGTCCTGGGATCGAGCCCCACATCCTCCCTGCTGAGCAGAGAGCCTGCTTCTCCCTCTCCATCTGCCTGCTGCTCTGCCTACTTGTGCTGTCTCTCTCTGTCAAATAAATAAATAAAATCTTAAAAAAAAATAAGGTTTGAAAACGTGTTGATGACGTAATTGAGCATCTGGGGAAGTGTAGCATTTCTAATGTTCTGACTTCCCTCAGAATGAAGTCACTTTTTCACCTCAGAGAATGCTTCTCTCCCCGCAGTGGCCCAAATGTAATGGTTGTGTGTCCCCCCCGCCCCGCCCCGGTTTTCCGTAGGTTCATTCCGGAGCCCTGGTCAGCCTGCAGCACCACGTGCGGTCCGGGTGTCCAGGTCCGAGAGGTCAAGTGCCGCGTGCTCCTCACATTCACGCAGACGGAGACTGAGCTGCCTGAGGAGGAGTGTGAGGGCCCTGAGCTGCCCACCGAGCGGCCTTGCCTCCTCCAGCCGTGCGACGAGGGCCCTGCCTCCCGCGAGCCGGACGCGTCTCTCCAGGAGGACGGCAGGATGACTTACCACTGGGAGTACGCCGGCTTCACCCCTTGCACAGCGACATGCTTGGGAGGTACTTGACTCTCCCTCTGGGGCAGTCCTGTCTCGTGTCTCTGACAGTTTGAGAAATCCTGAAATCACGTGGGCCCCGGACGCAAGTTAGAAAAGTCGGAAGGAGGGGAAATCATTTGAATAACTGAAAATCTTGCCGTTTCTTTCTTTCTTTTCCATCACGATTATCCTCTAGAAGATGAAGGGTAGTGGGATGGCGTCCCAGCCAACAAAACGGTGTGATCCTTTGGTCCTAGCATTTGCGTAAGTGAGATGGGGAAAGAGGCTACTGACTAAAATGAAATAAATAGGAAACTGCGGGATGGATAAGTGGAGGCAATCTTGCCTGTAAATCAGTGTTCTGAGGTGAGGCGGCCTGGAATTGTCTGTCTGGTAGTGCCCTGTCAGGACTCATCCTCAGAATATAGTAAGTTCATACGGTGCATTGGGCCAGGAGCCATCAAGGAATGCACCGATGACTGCGGTTCACGTGGGTGCGTGTAGAGTCGCGTGTGTGGCCAGTGGACCTGTTCCGAGTAGGGGCTGGGGGGCCTCAACGGTGTGGAATTGGCCCCAGGATTATTGAACATTCCAGGATCCTAAAAGGAATGGATGACTAGAGAGCAGGAGTCCAGATGACCCTTTTCCAGGGCTGTCTTTTGGAAGGAAATAGAAATAATTGGAAAGCTAGATCGTCTACTGAGGTGAAGGTGGCTCATCCAGTCAGGAATCCAGGACTCCTGACACCCTATCCTGGGACTCCACTGGCTCCAGTGGTAGGCAGTTGGGTCGAGTTCATGCCCCACTCCTCCTGGTGGTCCTGAGCTCATTACTTGGAACGCCCTATCGGGTCTTGGAGCTCATAGTCCCATCACTGCGCCTGAGCCCCTCACTCTTTGTCCCCCAGGCTCTTAAGTAAATTCCCGGTCCTTCCCATCCAGTCTCCAAGACCTGATGGTATTTGTCTCTCTCCTGTCCTAAGTCAGCCTCTGAACCCACCTCTCCTGACACAGACACCTATTCTCTGACTTTGCCAGCATGCGGCAGATGCAGATGGAGTGGCATACGTTCTACCCCCAGGCTTCCACGAGGCGGCGGCTGCCTTTCATATGGACTCATGCACACAGAATTTAAGAAAAGAACTCTTAGCTGTCCCCGCATTCTCTCTGCTCTCCTATTTGCTTCCCCCGGTTTTTAGAAGCCTACCCAACTAACAAGGAATTTAGATTTTCTTATTCACCTGGACCCTAATTTGCTGCCAGGACATGTAATCTCAACCACACCTGCGCCGCTGTCCAGAACTTGACTCCTGCTTAGTTCAGGACCCTGGACACCACCCTTGTTGTAGCTTGGAAACCTTAACTTTTTTTTTAATTAAAATTCAACTAATTAACATATCTTGTGTTATTAGTTTCACAGGTACACTTTAGTGTTTGATCAGTTGCATGTAACACCCAGTGCTCATTACTTGAAGTGCCCTCGTTAATGCTGTCACCCAATTACCCCATCCCCCGCACCCTTCCAGCAACCCTCACTTTGTTCCCTAGCGTTAAAAATCTCCTGTGGTTTGTCTCCCTCTCTGATTTAATCTTATTTTCTTATTCCCTCCCTTCTCCTTTTGATATGTCCTTGGTGATAATGGGAACTGGTACTTTCTTGATGAGTCTGGAGAATCCCTCTAGAGCTGGTTGCTATGATGCAAGAATGGTCCCCTATTCAATGGCAATTATAGATGTCTGGAACTTTCCTCTACATTACTGCAAAATGCCAGCTGTCTATACCACTTCTGAACCACCACATTCCTGCAGTTTCACCTGAAGCCTGGGTCTTTGTCTTTTATTATGAGAGCAGAAACAAACCCTACTATTGCTGGCATGCCCTCAAATCTGTTAATCTCAAGTTGTTTTTTTTTTAAAAGAGATTTTTAAATTTATTTTAGAATGAGGAGGGGAGAGAGCAGCAGAGGGAGGGGCAGAGGGAGAGACTCTGAAGCAGACTCTGAATTGAACGTAGAGCCCGGTGCAGAGCTCGAAACCACAACCTTGAGATCACGACCTGAGCCAAAATCAAGAGCCAGATACCTAACTAATGGAGCCACCCAGGTGCCCCTCAAGCTTTTGAATGTTGACTTTGGTAGAATCACTGTTTTGTCTAGTACTCTGTCATCCTTGGTTTTAGTTCTTTCCCTGATTAGAAAGCCTCCCCCCTCCCCAGTTTGGGAAAACACACTTGTTGGGTCCTTGGGACTAACAGAGCAGTTGGAGATGCCCAAGGGAAAATGACCAAGTTAATTCCGATTCAGCTGGTGGGGTCTGTTAGCCCTCGTCTTGAAGCTTGATGCCAAAATGTTAGACTCTACTACTGTCTTGTGTACCAAGGTGGCACGGGGTCCACCTCCAGGATGGCTGAACCTGTGGGAGAGACTTTCTTTTTCCTTTTTCTGTCTTTTTTTGGGCGGGGGCAATAGCTCTATTGAAATGTAATTCACATACCGTTCAATTTATGCATTTGAACTATACAATTTGGCGGATTTTAGTATATTCACAAAGTTGGGCAACATCATCACAATCAATGTTAGAACTCTTTAACCCCCAAAGAATCCTGTACCCTTAAGCGTTTTTTCCCTATTTTTACTCAAACCCCCATTTTCCCTGCCAGTGGCAGCCTACAGTGGCTAATCTACAGAAAGTAGATTAGCCACTAATCTACTTTCTGTCTATACTGGACATTTCATATAAATGGAATCACATAATAGGATCCTTTGTCTTCTTTCACTTCATGTAATATTTCTAGCTGAAGTTCATCCATGGTTTAGCATGAATCTACTTTGTTCCTTTTTGTGACTAATACTATTCTGCTATGTGAATATACCACATTTCATTTATCCATTCATCGGTTGGAAATTTGGATTATTTGCACATGTTGGGTGTTGTGGATAATACTGCTGTAATCATTCAGGTACACACTTTTATATGGACATATTTTTATTTCATTTCTCTTGTGTATATACCTTGGAGTAGTAGAATGAGCTTTGAATCCACTTACACATCCAGGTTTTGTGAAACTTGGATAATCACATTTATCCTCATTGGTATTGAGGCCTTTGGGGACCACTGTGAGAAGGGAAACTGCCTTAAACGTCAGAAGTACAGCTCAGCACTCAGATGGTTGGTGTGATGTTGCGCATTTATTTTCTGACGTCCCCTCGTGAACACGGAACCCGTTTTACAAATTGTGACAGAGGTCAGCTTGGAAATCTTTCAGTACTCAGTTAAAAAGCAGTTTAGCCTTGTGAAGGTGTGTTATGTTGTTTAATCCTAGAATAATATCATTTAAATGAACCTTGGATGTCCACTAACCCGAATTTCATAGTTAGGGAAACTGAGGCCCAGAGCCCATCACACAGTCCAAAACAGAAAATAATTCTCGTGCTTTACAGAGGTTTGGTTGAATGGTAAGTGGATACAATAAGCTTTTTAACCCAGTAGAAGTAATGTTTTTAACTTTGTGGGCTCAAACTTAATTTTCCTTTTAAATAGATCACTAAATTCTGTAAAACTGAAGGCCCAATGCTCGAAACCCAAATCCTCGATAAAGGCAGGGAACCGTGCGTCTGTTCTATGCTAGACTCGTGGCTCGAGGTTCTGGGCTCAGCATCAGGATAGAAAATGAATAGGACACCATCCTTGACTCAGTGCACCTCAGCTCTTGGTTATTTTCCTCGACTGTCTTGACGGCGCTCCTTATACACAGTGATACTCGCCTCTCTGCGATCCATTTCAATGGCTTTTGGAGGCTTAGCCTCTACAAGTCCTCCCGGCCTATGGTTACAAGCATCGGTTTTAACCCTCACCCTGGTCTGCCGTAACTGAATACCACAGGAAAATAGGATTTCCCCAGGCACCTGGCTATTTCCCCAACATTCCTGTTTCTGATAGAAAAGTAATATATGCAAATTAGAGATTTCTGTAAAGATAAGCCTTTCGTTACATCTTGACAATCTGTGTACTTGTGTCTTCTAACTTATCTTCACATCATACAGGAAATCAATAAATCTATTCGTCAGAATTGCTGATACTTGAGAAGATTTCCTGAATCTGTCTTCACACGGGAGCGGCAACAGAGAATTCTTTTTTCATTCCCGAAAGCATGAAGATTGCAGACATATTGAATTTCCAGCTTCCAGGGGCACGTGCATGTGTGTGCCCGTACACACAGACGTCCTGGAAGATAGGCTTGCCTTTCCAAGGAGCACCCCCTCCCTGCGAAGGTTTTGTAACTTAACACATTCTAAACATTCCTCACCGGAACGTTTCTTTGTATTTTATGTTATTTGTTGCACTTACGACCTTCAGGTTTTACCTTCCTACTCTCTAACTGCACAAGCTAGTAGCAGATCTCATGGACTTTGAAGCCTGACCCCACTTTGAGCCTTAGCTCTGCCACTCTCTTCCAGCCACTTCTATAAGTTTGTAGAGGCTCATTTTTGTGAGATGCGACGAGCCATGCCTCCTTCATGAGGTTGAAGGAAAGGATTGAATGTGCTTATTTAACAAGGTGATGTAGGAGAAGTGCCTAATCACAGCGCTTGGCACGTGGTCTATGATAAGTGTTAGTGGGATGATTATTTGATTATAGAATAATAGTAGGGCATTCTTCTTATAATTCTCCCATTTTTTTCTCTTTTAAAAGATCTGATTTTCTGAGCTCCTCTTAAAACATCTACTCGTTTTCGAGTCCATTCTTATGAATTCTCTAAGTAAAATAATCATCCGTAATGAACGATGGTTTCATTTTTCCCTTTCAAATAGTTATTTATCTTAGGTAAGCTTTATGTCTCATTGCATCCTCTGGGACCACAAAAACAGCGATGAGCAATGTGGGCAAAGCCAAGCTTCCCTTTGTCCTGAAAGGAGCAGGAATCTCTGTTGTTCTGCTCAAAAATAACATTCTACAAATAGTGGTTGTGTGTTTCTTTGTGGTAGGCACTGGGCTAGGTGATAGTGACTCAGTCGTCCCTACCTTTGGAACTCACATGGAGGGGGGGGAGTGCTGATCACATAATTCCACACATGTATGTAACTCACAACTGGTGATAGCAAAAGAGATACATGGCGCTAAGAAGGCATATAATAGGAGGGACTTGACCTAATTAGGGAAGTCAGGGGAAGCTTCCCTAAAAGTAATGACACTGGAACTTAAATCTGAAAGATGAGGAATTAGTTCTGCAAATGAAAGAAGAGCAGGTGGGTGGCAGGTGTGTGGTCTGTCCCGGGAATGAAGAAGGCAGGTGCGGCCAGAACACTCCGGAAGATGGCGAGCTGACGCCGGAGAGGAAGGCAGGGGCCGATGACTGCCTTATGCAAAGCTGACTTGGTTCTTGATCCCCAGATCAAAGGGAAGCCATTCAGAGAACCAAAGTGGGAGTTACAGGATCAAACTTGTATTTGTTTAAAAAAGGTGAGCTCAGATGTACTTCAAAAAAAAGGGGGGGTGTTGGATGGGATAAGAACAGATGTAAGGGAGGCCGTCGTAAGAAGCCATTGTCTCATCCAGGGGAGGGCTTGGCCTTTGGTCGTAAGGATGCTGGAGATGGCGGACAGCAGATGACTTAGAGAGATGGGTCGAAGGCGAGAGTCTGTGTGTGGAGGGGGTGAGGGGGAGTGAGGTGGCCAGTCCGAGTCTGGATTCTTCTCTGGGATGACGAGTGCTTCCCGGAGGACCGCTTGGGCACAAGGAAATCACGAGTTCGGTTCCGGATGGAATGACTTCAACATGCCTTTGGACTTCCCAATAGGGACGCTAAGTAGACCGTTGCACGCGTGAATCCGAGGCAAAGTGCGGAGATGTAGCTGGACATAGACGTTCACGAGTCATCTGTGTGCGGAGAGAACCGAAGCCGGGGTATGAATGAGAACCTGCAGGAAGAGAGTGGGAGGCCACTGGTGACTGAGAGTCGGATTTGAAAGGACGGAGGAAGGAGCCACAGGTGACAACATTAGAGATGAAAAGAATAGATACTTTGGGGACAAATTTTGTGATAAAGAAGACAGAGAAGGCAAAAAGGCTAGAAGGCATTATGGGTTGTGCGTGTTGTGTTAGTCAATGACCGAGTGGCTCGGGGACATTTACAAGGAAGTGAGAAAGCTCCGGTATGAAATCAAAAGGCGAAGTCGTCCACAGGTTTCCTGGGAAGGTGGAAAGGAGAGGAAGTGACCCATGGGTAGAGCTCAGTCTCGAGATATGGAAGAGGCAGCTCCTAATTGAAACAGGCCAGGCTTCTCTGTGTGCAAGAAGCAGTGGGTCTCTATGCCTGATGGCAGGAAGTTCCTGGTGCTTTTGTGTGCGTGTGTGTGTGCATGTGCACATGTGTGAACATTTGTGTGTGAGTGATTTGGGGAGCAAATGCAGCAATGTGGGAGGTCACGGCACACTGCTCTTACCCAGCTGACTACAGTGGGCCAGTATAGGATCTGGTATAGGATCCGGGAATGGCATCATGCGTGTCGGTGTCCCCCGTTTCACAGGGCAGAGTCCAAGCACGCCTCCCCACAAGGGAAAGGGGGGGCTGCAACCCCAGCCCGCCCCCGGGGCTCCTGCTCGCTCATTCCCCATGGAGATGTGCTCCCAACACGGAGGGGTCGCTGTCTTGTTCTCTCCAGAGCTCTGAGTCCTGACAGGCCTGGAGCTGTAGTCTCTTCCAGCCAGTCTGGGTGCAGGGGGTGGCTTCCTGTCAGGCTCCAGCAAAGCCTGGGCTGCGTGTCATGTGCCCCCCGGGTTCTACAGCCCTTACTCGCCACCGCCGCACCTGTGACGTGCTCACGGAGCTCCCCAGCTTGGGCGTTTAGTAGTGGAGAAGGAGGAAAACGGACTCACTGTTCTGTTCAGGGTGGCCCGGGCTGGTGCCTGTACAGGGCCACATGCTATGAAGTAGCGACAGTCGCTTTCCCTTGAACGGATGCCGCTGTCAGTGTTGTCACGGTAGCACGAATCGGAGTTTTCTGGCTCTCCCAACGGCCTCGAACGGTTTATGTCATGGGGCACCCATGGGGCTCAGTCAGTGAAGTGTCTGCTTCAGCTCAGGTCATGATCCTGGGGTCCTGGGATCAAGCCCCATGTCAGGCTCCCTGCTCAGCAGGAAGCCTGTTTCTCTCTCTCCCTCTCCCCGTCCCCACTGCTCGTGCGTGCTCTCTCTCTCAAATCAATAAATAACATCTTCTAAGAAATGTTTATATCATGGATATTATCTGTTTAAAAAGTTTGAAAGCACTCGTTCCTACCCATTCCTGTTTTCCCCTCTTGGGCAGGGACTGAGGGGAGAGCATTGTGGCTGGGTCTTGGATGTCATTTTCAAGACCCCCCCCACCACTCCTGGTTATTGTTGCAGTCAAGATCTTAATTTTCAAGTAATTTCCCTTATTTAGGTTTTCTTGGAAAAAAAAACCTCATCTGTTTCATGATGGTATTGTTATTATGAGTTGTTCATCTGGTCTCACTTTGCCTTAAGCCTCTCTCTCCTCTTTTTTTTTTCTGACCACAAATACTGTGGGATCCATTCACTCTTTCTGACCAAGAGTTATATAGGGAATGACGGCTAGAAAATTCTAATGGTTGGACTTGGGGGTTTAGTTGTTTGTTATTTGTTTACAGTTGGACTCAGCTGTGGTCAGAGAATGTGATCGGCATGACCTCTGGCTTTTGGGACTTACTGCAGTTTATAAACTAATAGAGGATCTGTTTTTGTTAATATTCCGTTAGTGCTTCAAGACCATGTTAACGTCTCTTTCTAGGGCCCAAGGCTCTTCCGTTATTAAATCAACATCCTTTTCTTAATGTATTTTTTCATTTTTATCTTACAACTTGATATAAAAATACTGGACAGAGCACCTTAAAGAGTGATGTTCTTCATCGCTCCGGGTATTTCGTACTGAGAGGGGTGTGTGTGTGTGTGTGTGTGAGAGAGAGAGAGAGAGAGAGAGAGAGAGAGATGTTATTTGGAATGTTGAATTACTCAAGACTTGCGTGCATGAAACCCAACTCACATGAACCTTAAACCAAAAAAGGAAATGTGTTAATTGGCTCTGCCTCCATTTTTCGAGTTCCTCCCCATTTTAATTCATTTCTTGATGAAGGCCTTGAATATGATTTCTGCCCCCGAAAGACCCCCTTATTATGACATTGTAGAAGTCAAGTGTGGACTGAGGGATGTTGCCTCATATGACCAAAGGAATGGATTAGAAAAAGTTATACTGAAATTTTAATGCTTCATTTATTTCATAGCTCCAGAAAACATCACAGTTATCACCCGAGTTTTGCTAAGTATAAGAAGAAGTAAAATTATATTTAAAGTTTTTGCTTCTCCTTTTGAAGATAAAGGTCTTATCAAACCTCTTGAAGTGAAAAGCGTTGAAGTGATCTCATAGGTCAAGTATGTGAGGTGGAAGGTATTTCTGTGGTCGTCTTTAGAAAATACATTTTACCCCAATAAGTATCCTAAGCCACTTATTGGTTTTTTACATTCCTTCGAGTATGCTTGCTTTAGGACAGAGAAGTTTCTCATGCGGGGTCTAACATTTCATCCGAATGGTTAAATGAGATGACGTTAGACCCACTGCATCTTCAGAAAACACTCCAAAATTGGCTCTGTATACATTTTCTGAAGTGTTTTGATTACAAATTAAAATACATGTGCAAGGTAATTGGGCTTTTCTCTGACAAAAAAGAAAGGCAGCCCTGCTAGAAAAGGAGCATCTGTGCCCAGACAGAGTCAGGACGAAGCCTGACATTTGCGAATGGAAACTGGTTATTCAGTTGTTGCTGTGTCCCCTCGGTATCTCAAGTTAGCTAGTCCTTACGTTAAAAAAAAAAAAAATGTCATGGGAGATCCATGGAGATTGGAAATCGCATCCCGCTATGGCTGGGAACGTGAGATTCCAACTGAAGAAAGCAGGAGAAAATGTAGCGGAAAGAACCTCACCTCACCGATGTGTATTTTAAATATCCTTTTGGCCTATTCGGCACTCTGTAAAATACCATAAAATGGATGGATTGAAACATGGCATTTGGAAGGAGAACCACAGTCTTCGAACCTAATGGAACACACATTCTTGCGTGAAACTGAATACATTTGCATATTTCAAATAGCAGAGTCAAGTTGCTGTTACAATTTTTATATGATTCCTTTTTCATCCGGAGTTTGATTTATACCTTGTGCAGTTCTGATTTTCCAATAATTCTTTTTGTCTCATAGACGAAGAATAGGGGTGAAGATGTGGGCTTTGGGGCCACACTGGCCCCAAAGCAAAGATCAGCCTGTGGAAGGTTCCTGTTTACTCAAGGACAGTCCCTGCTTTGTTGACTGTCCCTGCAGGACTAAGAGCACTGGCTTAGGAGACAGGAAATCTAATTTTTAGTTTTGAATCCATCCTCCTTTTTTTTGGCTGTCTTGATTTCTCTCTAAAACTCAGTGTCCTTATTATTCAACTAATGAAATGGAGATGGTGAGACCATTCTTTGGACGTCACAAGGTTATGAGGGAGGTCGGGTGCTTCTTTGGGTTTCAAGGTGAGTGTATGTGGGCGGGAAAGGCTGCGGGGAGAATATTACAGGCAGGAAGACTTTGGAAAATGCGCAGCTGTTTGCTCCCATGTGGCCCCTGAGATGCAGCCTGGAGCCAAGCAGCATAGTCAGAGGGCAGTGGCTCAAGAAGTCCCGAGACCCCCTCTTTCTTCCACAACAAGTTATTCTAAGTCATTTGCATTTTGCTGTCTCCAACCTGCAGGCCGTCAGGAAGCCATAGCCGTGTGCTTGCACACCCAGACCCAGCAGACAGTCAGTGACAGCTTGTGTGACATGCTCCACCGTCCACCAGCCATGAGCCAGGCTTGCAACACCGAGCCCTGCCCCCCCAGGTACGTGCTGGCCCGTGCTCCCGGAATGCCGTGTGGGACTAACACCCTCTCCCGCAGAGACACCCACATGTGCGTAGAGGCTGGTCCCCCCCTCCTGGCTTGGGAGGACGTTCTCTCTTCTCCATTCACCTCGTGCACCAGCCAGATTCCAGCTGGGTGCACGGGGACCACCGAGGTAAGCAGGAACTGCCGTTAGCCGGGCTCTTGGGAACGAACATCAGCTGGTCTGGGTTTGCAGAACCACGAGGTCCGTGGTGCTGTTCTCTTCTGCCTCCTCAAGGGCACTGCTTTGCCTCCTACCACATCGAAGAGCTCAGGCTCCACGGTAGAGTCAGCACACGTTCCCGGTCAGTGCTCGGGCTGTGTTTGTGGAGTGACTGAGCAGATCTCCTACTTGTTAGCTACAGGCCGTGTATTGCCACCCCTCCCGCTGACTTGTCTCATATCTCAGACTGAGGGGTGCACTGGTACAGGCCCCCATGAACAGATGACGTCAACTTATTTTTGGTCTCCTTGGTTTGAAAGGTTGACCCTAAAAGTTAATTCTCTTCCCTGCTTAAGTCCTTATGACATCGTGGGGAATCTTATTGGAAGCGAGGGTGGGTTTTCCCCACGTTCTTCTCTCCTGTGCGTTGCTGGCTGCAGAGGATGATGGCTCGGCATCCCTGGCTTCTTACCCAAGAGCTTCCAGAATCCAACCACCCACTTTTTCCTTCTTCAGTCCTTTACCTTCGTTGGCTTAATCATGCCAACATCACAAATCAATTGCCAAAAATACAGCAGTCATTCCCGGTCCGCTCCCCTTCCCTCTTTGCCAGAATCTCTTACCTGCCTCTTGGTAATCATATCGCCCATCTAACGAGGTACCTTTATTCCCTAAAGTCAGGTTTGCGACCTCTGGGACTCTTAAGTCACGCAGGCAGATCCTTGTGTCTCTCCAGCCGTCCTGGAGTGAGGACTGGTGTATTTTATGTTTATTCGGGAAATAAGTTGGGTTCTGGAATTCTCTTGATCCTTCTGATTTTGATTCCCTGAGATGTGTTGGCTGTGATATAAAATTCCTGCCTTGGTGGTCTGAGGGAGTTGGGGGTCGGGATGGACTAGCGTGTCCACGATAGGACTCCAGCCCTCCTACCCTGCAGATGCCCTTTGCTCCCGTGTCTGCCCCTCCAACTGGCACAGTCTCCCGGCGAACCCGGCTCCAGTGTGTGCTTTCTTCTTTGGTGAGGGCACCCCTCCAGTGGGGCAGGAACAGGGTTTTATTCCCGTGACCATATTGCCGACTTCAGTTGTAGGGTCAGGAAACCCCAGGGACTTCCTGACTCGTGTTGGAGCTATCTCACTGTGTTCTGCTGAGAAGCAGTGAGGACCTGGGCCCAGGAACAGCACAGGGATACCTGCTTCCCTTCCTGCTTTCCTCCCCCTTCCCCCATGCTTACTGCATTCCGGAATGATCCAAGATTGCTGAAGAGACATTCAGGAGGGTTTTTAGGGAGGCTTGATCTAACCCGGGATTAGGATGCTCGCTTTATCAGGTATGTCTAGAACTTTCCCAGAGCATCGGTCATATGGGGGTAATGCTGAGTGTAGAGCTACTGGGAGTGACCCCTTTTATCTTTGGAGAAATGGCACTTCTATTAAGTGTACAGTCAAGCCCTCATAATCCAAATTTGTTATCTACATTTCTCAGTTGTTTCTTATTCTAATACTGGAAACACTGACTTAGATATTTTTGGAAAAGCCAGGGTTTCTGTTTTCCTTTGCTGACACATCCCCGCCCCCGAGGCTTTGTAGATAGGAGCAGATGGCCACCTGTCTGAGCCAGGGTGAGGGACAAGGGGAAACACAGCAAGGGGAAGACACAGAGTGTCCTCCCCCAACACGTTTTCCCATGAGGTTGGAATCCTCCACCACCTCCCCTTTCTCGACACCAGCCGGCACAGGCTTTCTGGAAAGAGGACTATAAACAAAACGATTTGGAATTTATACAAACTCCAAATGGTGACTACGGTTTGGCTAAGTGTGCAGTTCTGTAGTCATAAACAAAGAGGAGTGAAAAAAAGAAACTGTCACCCATAAATTTGGAGTGTGCTTTATTTCTAGCTCCAAATCTTACTCCCTATCAACGGAAAGCTAGTCTTCCCCAGTTGTGTCTTTCTCTGTAGCCTGAGCCATTGACAAATGAGGACTTGGGCACAAGTGGCCAATTAAACAGAAAATGGACACAGGTGCCAACACAAAGCAGGCTTCAGGGGCACCTCGGTGGCTCAGTCCATGAAGCGTCTGCCTCCGGCTCAGGTCATGATCCTGGGGTCCTGGGATGGAGCCCCGTATTGGGCTCCCTGCTCAGCTCCCTCTCCCACTCCCCCTGCTTGTGTTCCCTCTTTCTCTCTCTCTCTCTCTCCATCAATTAAATAAATAAATAAATAAAATCTTTAAAAACCAAAAACAAAGCAGGGTTAAAGTGAGAGGGATTTGCCCAGCAGGGCGCACCAAGGGGGCTGAGGACATGGAGAAACTCAGTTTTGCTTTTGCAAAAACAACGCTGTTCTGATCCAGCTCTGAAAGTGAAGACCGCTGTAATGGGTCATCATGCAATTTTTTCAGAAAAAAAAAAAAGAGAGAGAGAGAGAGAGCCAGCGATAGAGAAAATGCAAAACAATCTATTCTTTGTTCTAAGAATAAACTCACCGAGTTGCCATTACCACTGACACTATATTCAGTGCATGGTGTAAATAACTCGATTTCATAATTTTTAGTTTGATTTTTTAAGGCGAAGTCCAAGTCATACATTTCCCTACTATTTATTCTATTTATCATAGAATTTGAGTTTCTTCTTCCTTGCGTTAAATGACTTTTTCTGGTTTCATTTCTTTGCTGAGGATGTGGACACGATTTGTGACAGTTTCTCTCTCAATCTCTTAGCAGTCTGCCCCAGCCATTCCTAACTGCCCCTGCCTCTGTGCAGAGAGATTTTGCATGAACTATTTCCATTGTAGCTAAATAAACTCTCTCCTCTTGTGTTTCCTGCTCTGACCCACACACACAGGGATGACCTTCAGAGAACTTTCTAAATCGCGGTGATCGTGAGAAGCTCCCACATAAAACCCTCCAGGAACTTTCCTTACCTGAGGATCACAGTCTGTGTTCTTTACTTTGGCATGTGTGTGACCTTTCTGGGGCTGCTGTCACACAGTACTGTGGACAAGATGGCTTAAACAACAGAAGATGATTGTCTCCGTTCTGGAGGCTGGGGGGTCCGAGATCAAGGGGCAGGCAGGGTTGGCTCCTTCTGGGACTGGGAGGGAGAACCTGGTCCAGGTCTCTTTCCCAGCTCCTGGTAGGCGTTCCTTGGCTTGTGAATGCTGTTCTCCCCGGGTTTCTATATTGTCTTCCTTCTGCTTGTCCGTTGTCCAAACGTCCACTTTTTATGAGGGTACCACTTATATTGGGTTGGCGCCCTTTCTAATGATGTCATCTGAATTGATCAGAGACCCTGTTTCCAAACAAGATCACATTCACAGGTACTAGGAGTCAGGGCTTCAACAACTTTTGTGGGGAAATAATTCAGTTCATAGCATCCTATAAAGTCCTTTGTGCCCCTGCTTTTAGGTTCTTGGGCCACATCTCCTGTCACTACCACCCTCAGCATACGCAAACACACACACACACGCATACATACACGCATGCACGCATGTGCCCCAAGGACCGTGTTCAGCAGCCACAGTAAATTTTCACCGTGACCCATACTCCTGCCTTCGGGCCTTTGCACATACTGTGCCCGCTGTCTGGATCTCTCTTCTCCATAAAAAAAGTGAAATCTCTCCCAGGAAAGCCGTCATTTCTCACTGGTGTAATGAAGTCCGACAGAACATGACGTAGGACCCTATGCTGAGATCCCTGAGAGAGGGGAGCTCTTTGTAGTTGAGAGAGGACTGGGAGTGGGTTGGGGGCACAAGTGGGTGGTGCCCCACTTGTGCCCCCTCCAGAAGTCTCAGGCAGTACCTTTGCCCTCTGGGCCCCTCTGGGCCTCTTCATCTGAGTAATGATGGAAAATGCTGGACTTTGTGGCCAGCAAGTTCCTTTCAACTCCAACTCCTTTCACCATTGAGGCTGCTTTCAAGTTGCATTTTTTTACTCAAGTCTTCAGAGCTGTGCCCGGTCTTTCGGCGGGGATCTCCTGTCTACTCGTGAATGGTTGCAAATGCTCAGGGTCATTTCAGTTCTAAGAACAGCAGCCTTCCCCTGAGCTGGCCGGGTGGCCATCGGTAGGGTTGAGTTCAGTCTGCAGTGCTGCCCTTCCTTGGCTCCCCAAACCCCAGCAAGATTTAGTACCGAGTGCGGACCCTGTTTCTTAGGGCCGCTGAGGGAAGTGAGCCAACCTGTCCCGTGTGCGGCAGCAGCCCCGTGCCCTCATCTCTGGGCCTCAGCAAGAATGATCGCGCATTATCTTCTCTGGCACCGTCTTGCCCACAGAGCTTCCCTCCAAGCTGGGAATAATAGAGCACGCAACATGTCTTGGCCACTTTGCAAAATGAAGAGTCTGTTTTTATGTGAAGGGAAATACTCTTCCTTGTTTCAAAAATTGCAAATTTAATAAACTTTTCGAAGCTTGAGAGTTATATTGGAAAAAACCCAGCAGAGACAAAGGGTGGGTGCCAAAGTGAAGGTAAGTTTACAAAAATGTTTTAGGTTCTAGAAACCAGTGGTGTAGGAATAACAGGAACAGGGTGTTGCATAATATTTTCCACACAAATATTTACTGACTCCAAGGGCAATAGCAGTAAAATATCACCCCGGGGTGAAAGTTACCACTGAGAAGGGGCCGGACAGTCCGTGGATCTTTGTTTACCCAAAGGCAAACGCATTTGATGAATTAGCCTGGATTCTCCAAGGTGGGGTGTTGTATGTTTATTTGCTCTTATGGGTTGACTCCCCCTCCTCCCGGTCTATGCCATAACTGCTGAGTGTCTGCTATTTATGGAGTCCGGTTTTTCCAG